CAGTCTTCTAATGTTCTTGATAAGGATATTGATAAAATGAAGATTGAATATGATACAAATCGTGATATTGATCAACAATTAATATATAATAAGGCTATTCAACTTAATGATACTACTCCGGAAAGACTTGATAATGCTTTTAGGAATGTTATTACAAGGAGATATATTGATGAATATTATAGTGCTGATAAACGTTTATTAAGTAATAATCAAATGCAAGGTATAGTTGCAAATGTTGTTGGTGGTGATGTTGAATCTATTGAAAAGAAAACAAGAAATGCTAGTAAAGGAAATAAAAAATACGATGTTAAATTTATGCGTGTGGATGTTGATAAATCTCTTTTGAAAGGAAATGTTGTTGAAGAATTGAAACCGGGTAAGTATCATGTTAAACTTGGAAAGAAATTTCCTGTTGAACCTTATGATTTTACTGATGCTCAAATAGCTAGTTTGGTTCAAGAACAAATTGCAAATGAACGTCTTGAAGAAGATCGTCGTAAGTTACTTGAATATACTGATACTCGTACTGTTAGTCATAAGACTGTAGATGGTAGTCCTTATGATCCTTCTCAGAGTAGTTCTATTGAAAGTATTAAAGAAATTAAGAAAAGGAAAAAGAAATTTAATTAATTTGTTAGTCATATATTATGTCTATATCATCATTTTTCCCTCCAAAAGGTGTGTGTTCTAGTGGTCCTTCTGAATAATCTTCTTCTTCTTCATAATCATCGTCTTCTTCATCCATATAATCATCTTTTAATTGTTTATTAAAGTAATTACTTCTCTGTTTTTCGTATTGAGACATTGTTTCCTTTTCAAAATTGTTGAAGTCTTCTGTTGTCATACCAAGTGGGTTATCTGATTGGTATTTTTCTAAATCATCGTTCCATTCCTCTATCATGCTTGTGTTGTCTTCTTGTGATTCATTTAAAATCTTTTTCATTTTCTTATCTTTCTTCGCTTCTGATATTTTTTCTGACAGACCTTCTAAGAATTCTTCATCATATCCGAGTGACTCCATTAAATTGGTCACTCTTTTATAGAAAGAAAGGTGCTCTATTGGATTATCGTCAATTGAATCCTGTTCTTCTGGCATATCTTTAATGTTTTCATATTTTTCTTGTAAATCTTCCATTGCATCATAGTTTTCTTCTTGCTTTTCCATGTCTTCTGAATCTTTTTCAGATTCTTCTGGATCTTTATAAAGTTTTTTATCTATGAATACTGTTAAGGAATTTCTTTTCCACCAGTTATAACCTCCATTGTATTTCATTAAATCTACAACACTTTCGTACTCCTTTTGATTTAATAAATGGATACATGGCCTAGCAGTAACAATTGCCTTGGAATATTTAATATTTACCATTGTCTTTTTATCTATAGTAGAAGTGATTGCTTTTATTAATCTAATTAAATTTTTATCATAATTTATATCATCGAAGAGAATGAATTTATAATTTTGCTCGTCATCATATGCATCGAATAAAGAATCTCCTCTTAACATGAACGTGTTATATTTTAAGAAGATTTCTTGTATAGCAAATTCTGTTTTACCTGTTTTGGTGGGTCCTACAATAAACAGATTTCCCATACGATATTTATTCCCTTGGGCACATTTCAACCATTTACGAATTGTTTGTACTTCTGGCATTTCCTCTCTCCAAGGGAATAAATCGGTTCTTGTATAATGTTCAATATCTAAACGCCTTGCATTCTTACGCATCCATCTCGCCTTTATTTTACCTTCTTGCTGAATATATTTTTCAGCATTTATATCCAGAAGGTTTTTTTCTAGTTCATTGTAATCCTGATAAGAATCAAGTTCTGATAAAGCGTTAATCCATGTCTGCTTCAAATCTTCTTTAGTAGAAGGATCACCTTTAGACATTCCAGCACCTTTCTTTGTAATATAACGTATAATTGCTGAGATATCTCCAGTGCGTGAAGTGTACGAATTTACTCGCGAGTACCAGAAGGATTGTTTTGTTCCGTCTGAGTGATTGATTATCGGTCTCGCTTTAAAAGAGCGTGGTCTCTTAGTGACTATCAGTAGATGCTGGTGTGGTTTTGGATTTACTTCGTCTATTTCAGTGGGTGAAATATGTGCATACTGTACGTTATTTGTTGCACCAGCTAGACGATCCACCACTTCTTTAAATTGTGTTTGATTGGAAATTTCATCGCCCCACAATGTTAGATACATAAATCTTGATGTGAAATGAAGAGCCTTGTTATGTGCTAGAGCATCTTTTAAGTGAATCATGTCCATTTTATTGGGTTCTGAATGAAAATCTTCTTTTGACATTAATGTATTTTTTTAGTTTAATTTGATCTATTTATATGAAGCGGTGAGGTTTTTTCTTACGTGGTAATGACATCAATGAATGGAGTTGAACTATTTAAAGAACAAAAACTTGCAAATATATATCGAAAACAATGTCAAACATGAACAGACCAAGAGAAAAACAATGTCAAACATGAACAGACCAAGAGATGATATTTATATGGACGTTGCCTCTATGGATATTATGGACGTTTATACTGAAGCACAATCTGAGCCAAATGTTAATTCTTTTCTTAAGAAGTTCTATTACACTATGAAAGAGCCGTCATATATCGACTGGAAAATTAATAACAGTGATAAAGTTAAAAGCGATGAAGATAGACAAGATTTAATAAGACAAAAGCTTGAAAGTATTAGGAGATGCGAAAGAATATCTAGATATTTGGATGAAAATAGTATAGGACTTAATTCATTTAATACATGGAATAGAAAGTTTGCAAAGAAATATAATAAAAAGACTGTTGATCAGAGTACTATTCCAGACTGGGTTAGAAAGTTGTCTCGTAAACACACTGAAGAAGTTGATGTTGATGATATCCATGATGAAGAAATTGAAAACGAGTCTAAGTGTGCTTTACTTAAGCCTATTAAATCTATGGATAGTGAGAAAAAGCCTAAGAAAGCTGAAACTGATGATTAATTCAATTCTTTTTATTCTTATTTTATTTTTTATTTGTTCTGTTTAATGAATTAATATTAATAAATAGTATATAACCCCTCCGTTAGGAGGGTCAACCTTTGTTTAAAAAAATATTTAACAAAAAGATAATTAATAAGCATTAAAATATAATAAAAATTTAATCAATTATTAAGATGATCAGCATAACCTTCATAATAATAGAATCTTAACTCGCCTATTATTCTCATCAAATTATCATAATTAACTAATAGTACTCTTACATCTTCATATAAATAACCTAAATAATCATAAGCCGTTGTATCATAGTTATATTCATCATTGAACATCACTCTTTTTGCCCAGTATGCTAAAGAATACAATAAGCTTTTACCATCAGTGGTTATATTGGTTGTTAATAAGTAATTAATTTCGTCGGCTAATTCTCTAATAAGCTTTTCTAAAATACATTTTAATTTGGGAGATGTAGTCATTGTAGATGTTTTGTTTGGTGATTTTTTGATCATTAAATACTACTTTATACGTGTTTAATACGTATTAAATTGTCTGTTTGGTGATTAATTTTTGTCTGTTTAAACCTTTTTTATTGTCTGAATGACGTTTTGAAAATGTCTGTTGTCTGTTTTGTTCTATATTTAAATAAACTAAAAAATAATAAAAATTGTTAATATAATTAATGTCTTCAACTGTTGATGATAAGATAGAATATTATTCTTTATCTGATTTAACTGTTAGTACTTTACATGATTTCTATTTGGATCTTGATGATTTACATGATTTATGTTCTACTATGGTTGATTATTATAAGAAAGAACAGAGAACTACTCTTGGAAGTGATAAATATTCAAATCTTATTGAAAGTGAAGTTTTCTTGGTTAAAGATATTGCCAGTAGTGCGTGTAAAATGTTACAAAAGTATAAAACTGTTATTAATGCATTTAAACAATGCCACGATGATAGAGAATTAGCACGAAAAGAATTGAATAAACCAAAAAAATAATTAATTATTTCTTGTTTATTTATGTTAGTATTTTAATTATTAATTCGGCTGCAATAATTCCTATAAGTACTACAAATAAAATAATTGCTACTACTAGAGAATAACATAATCTTAACAATAATTTGGGTTTTCTATTTTCAATTTTATTTACTAATGCGTTTTCTGCTTCTACCATGGAATAAATCTAAATGAAAATAATCAGTTAATTAGTTTGATTTAGCTTTTTTCGTACTAAATTGGTATAAAATAACGCATACTGATTGTTTAAATCATTTAAATCTTCTTTGGATTTGTATAATTCTATCTCTGGAGTTCTATTTCTTTTTGTTAATCTTTTGAATTGTGTATTTGTATCACTACAGAATAAGAAGACATAAATACTTCCATCGGATAATCCTAATAATAATGGATGAATAAATGTATTAACTAAAGCTTCTTCATTTAATTCTGTAGAAATTCTACTAGTATCAACGTTTATTACACTGACATCTTTATTAGTTAATTGTGGAATCTGATATCTTCTACTTAATTGTTCTATTCTTAATTTGAGTTTTTGACGTTGTTCATTACTTAACGAATTGTTGTTTGCACAAAATACTTCCAATGATTCAATGGGGTGTCTATCCCATATTACAATATCAGCATCTTCATAAATACTTGAATTTAGTTGAGTCTCATAACAATCCAGTACATAATTCTGAAATTCGAAATTACTTATTAATCCATCATATAAATGTTTTAATGTTAATTCACCATCATTGTTGTAATCAATATATTCTTTTACATATGCGATAGGAGTATAATAGTCGAGATATTCGAATAACAAATTGCATAACATTGTTTTACCGACGCTGATACTACCGCTTATAAAAATGTGTTGTTTTTTGTAAGTATACGTTTTACATTTGTTGATACATTCGGAATTATTAACATTCATTGTTTATATTGTTAAATTTCTAATATTTTTTATTAGTTCTTTTTATTATTATTATTGCGTGTTATTATGTAATGATTACGTATTATTTTATTACTATATTATATAGTTATTTATTTTATATTTTAATTTTGTCGTCATTTAAATTCGTCATTGCTATCGTAATACTTCACCTTTCTCTCGTTTTTTATTCGTTTTTTTATGTTTCTCTGCTTCTTTATGTTTCTATGTTACATTTTCTTCTTATTTCTGCACCTTTCTTTCACCCTAATTCATCACCATTTGAAAATTTTGAACGTTATTTTCAACCCTGCCACATAGCCATTACTATATATACTAGGGTCAGCGATCTAATAATTCAGTTGCGCTGACTTTTATGCTATACACCTTATATCGTTTATTTTGTGTTATTTATTTATATTATTATTATTATTATTACCATTATTAATATTATTTTATTCAATACATTAACCTTGTAGTGTTTCTTAATTAATCCCATAACTTTTTTTGTTATTCATCCCATAACAGTCAGTGGGTGTGCCAATATTAAGTCTATTATGACTCTGACACCCCAAAAAATATATATATATATATTTACTGACTATATATTTTTATTATATTTTATTATATTTTTATTATAATTTTACTATAATTTTGGTCAGTGAGTCAGATGACTTTTCATTTTAGGATTTTTAGATTTTGTGCTGACTAATTTTTAGATTTTTGTGATATTCATCCCATAATTCATTGAGTTTTAACCACGTATTGATTACGTCATTTGAGTTTTATTTAACCTCATTGATGTGTTACCACGTCATTCGATTCTATTTTTATAAATCTGACATGTCTCCACGTCAAATTCTATTTCTATTTATAGTTGCCACGTCATCACACTCATTTTGTGATCATTGCTGTGTTCTATTTTTAGAACACATAGTC